GGGGGGGGGGGGGGAGGGACCCAGGAGCGGCTGTCACGCAGGAGGGGGAGAACGTGTTCCATTTCTGCAAGGTGCACCAAAGGGTTAAAGTCATTTTCATTAAAATTTAAATTTCAGCAGGCGTTCACTCTCCCTTCCCCATCCTTTGAACGTTTGACTGGCAACCATTTCATATTTCAATCTCGGCAGAACAAATTGAATTAGGTGTTGAAGCCGAGCTCGGTGCTGTTCACCAAAGCCTGCATGCTCGGCTTGCGCTAATCCTTCCTAGACGCCGCGGAGCACAGGCACACCGGCCCGGCCACAAAAGACAAGCCGAGGAGGCAGCAAAGGAGGAGGAGGAAACACTGGCGGGCGAGGGCCGCTGGAACCTGTCCTCGGCCTGACACGCGGGTCTTCAAGCCCAGGAGACAGAAGCTCATGTGGCGGTTCTGGCCTTGAATCCCGGGTGCCCAGCACACGGGGCCCCTGCTAAGTGATGAATGAATGAATGAATGAATGAATGAACGGATGAATGGACGAACAGGTGAGGCGTACAGGCACACTCCGTGGCAGCCTCTGCCTCTGGCTGGTGCCCCTTCCCGCTCCATGTGGAGTGATGGTGGCTGCCTAGCCCCCTCCCAGAGTCCAGATGCTTCCGTGGGAATCCGGGTTCACTCGGGTCCTGTGACCCTCCACGCCAGCCCCTGACCGGCATGCAAACCGGCCAGAAGACGCCGGCTCGAGTTTCCCGGGAGGGAGGCAGACCTGAGGGCTTGCCCAGCGACCTTTGCCGGGTGGGCACCGACAGGAACCTTTCCTTACGCAGCCAAGTGGGTGGACGGGTCTAGGAGTGCTGGCCCAGGGGCCCGAATCCGGCTCTCAGAACGGACGGTTCTACTGTGACAGTGGCATCCCTGCCCGCGGGTGGGCCCGGGATCACAAGCGTTAGGAGCAAACCCAGCCATACCACGGCCTGGGGAGGGGTCCACCTGTTTTCCAACCGCACACCCAGGCAACCACTGGCTCATCTGGGGTCTGGCTGTGTGCCAGCAGCTGAACCATGTGCTTGCTCGGCCCGCTTTGGGGCCTGTGGGCAGAGGGCACCCTCTCCGGGCCACCTTCCCGCGCGTATGGACTCCCCATCCTGTCCCATGCCTCCAATGTGGGCCCAGCAGGCCTGCCAGACACGTGCTGGGGCCTGGCATCCTTGGGCATTCGTGGGCAGGGCGCCCCAAGCTTCCCTCGTTGTAAAATTTGGACAGCAATCATGAGAACTACCCCTTATCTAGCACCCCTGCGGCATGCAACAGTCTAAGTGCTCCCCACCCGGGGTCTTTCAATGTTCAAAACGCTTCTACGAGGCAAGAAGTCTTCTCCTACCCGTTTTAAAGGCACGGACGTGGAAGGAGGAGATGGCTGCACGGCGGCAGGGGTGCAGCGGGGGTCCCGCCCAGGCCTTCCTGGGACCAGGGCCTGTGGGTCCTGCTCTCACTCCCCTCTGGGAGACCCCCGTCTAACTCCCACCCTCCCCCCGCAGGAGGAAGCCGGGCCCCTCCTCACCCCTCCAGAGCTGTCTTTACGGCCCCTCCCCACACCCCTGCCCCCCACTCCGAGCCAGGCCCCACATTCCAACACTCGGTCCTACCCTCCAGGGTTCCCCGGGGCTTCATGCCCTTGCTGACCCCCCACGGCTCCTGCACAACTCCTGCCCTCCCACCCGGGCTTCCCTCTGGGCCCCCTCCCTGCCTCTGGCAGCTCCCTGTCTCCTTGCCGTGCCTGTAGGGCGGGTCCACCGAGGGGGACTTCAGGCAGAGCCAGAGGCCAACGGGTGACAATGCCTCCACGTGGAGGGCCCCAGGGACTGGGAGGAATACCCTGGCTTCTCTCTCCTATGAGCCTCCAGAGCCTGAAGGCGCCCACCCCCGACCAAACCCTGCTGCCAGGCTGTTGCCAGGGGAGCCTGGGAAACACGACCTCCCGAGAGTCCCAGCAGGCGTGCGGTGGGTGTGTCGTGTGTAGACGCGGGGCACACAGGCAGGGCTCTAGCTCCTGTCTCTGCAAACGGCCGTCTGCACAGGCCTTGAGGTCAGGACCCCCCCTCTGACCCTGCGGCCCCCAGACCCACATCACCTCCCCTCCCCGGGTGCCTGCTCTGGTCCAGCCTCCAGCACGGCCCTCTTCCTGGCTCCCCCTGACCATCCGGGGGTCAAAGACCCCCTTGAGAAACGGATGAGTCTGCACATACATCGGGAGGCTCACCGGGGCCGCACCCCTTCCTCAGCGGCCACCTCCGTGGTTTATTCCTGGCATTTCTTCTCTGGACCGAATGATGGCCCACTGTCACTTCTAAATCCTCCTCATAAGCTCCCCTGTGCCCCATGTTCCTGGTGACAACAGTGCCCGTCCGCCGGATGTCTGGGCCCCACAGTCAGGAGTCCCCGCAGTTCACCCGGCACACTCTGGATGGATGCGTTTCTCCCAGGTGCTCCCGGCGGCCCCGCCCCCGTGCCGGGCGAACTTGACCCAGCTTCGCTGGACGGTCACCTGGCCATGCTCCGCCTCCTTCCAGAATCGTAATAGACACGGCAGTTCCGATATAAGTTACACAGCGTTAGTAGCTCCTGACCGCTCAGGGCTGCAGTCATTTTCAATGGGGAAGGGACAGGGCTCAGGCCGTTCCCTGCACTAAACTGCTGCCACTGAATGGGACAGGGACGTCCGAGACAGGGACGTCCGCACGTGGGAGGGGTGGAGTGTGGCCACTTTGGATAAAGCGGTCAGGACCAATCTCTGAGTGAGGAAGGAGAATTTAAACTAAGATCTCAAAGGGAAATAAAGAGAGACAGGAAAGATGCGGGGGAAGGGTGCCTGGGCAGGGGGAAGAGCAAGTGCAAAGGCCCTGGGGTGGGAGCATGCTGGAAAGGCCAGCACGCAGGAAGTGAGGGACAAGAGGCAGGGCCTTCTCGCCGGGCGAGGAACGTGACTTCGTTCCAAGTGTGCGGCGGGCCCTGACGGGTTTTAAGCTATGACTTGCACGATCCGGTTCACGGATCCAGCTGGACCCCTCTGGCTGCCTGTGGGGAATGCAGTGCCCCTGGGGAAGGGGAAGGGGAAGGGGGGAGATGAGGGTGACATCCGCCATGGATGTCCTGGAGAGCCAGGTGTGGCATGAAGGAGGGGTGATGGGGCCCCCCGCGATCTCCAGGGGAGCCGAATCGACTGCTCTCATTTGCTTATGTGGCGGCTCCCTGTCTAGACAGTGAGCCCCTGTTGGGGGGGGTGGGGGCAGAGAGGCCAGCGAGAGGGAAGGGGACCCAGCGTACCCCAGGCTGGTGTGAATGCATCCAGGCTGCAGGACTTGGCCGGTCCTGCCCTGGGGACGTTCTGGTACCTTCATCCGAGTCACTTAAGTCTGTGCCAGCGACGCCTCCCGTGTGCCAGGCCCAGGGGGTCCGGTGGCCTCCTATTTGGTGACACGGACTACCCCCCACCATCGGCCTGGCTCTGGCAGTGGGAGCACAAATCGTGTGTTCCGCCAGGGGGACCCACGTGCCGCTCAACGGGACAGGCAGTGGCGGGGGAATGGGGCGGGCCCGTCACCCCCCAAGACCCACGGCACCCGGGGGGACTGGCCACCCGAGGGCCTGGCCGGGGTGAGGCTTAACACTGACCCTGCAATACAGCCCCACCTGCACACTGTGGCCGCACCTGCTCTCTGCGGGACACTCCGGCATAAAGGCTGGCGACCAAGCCACTCGGGGTTTGTGCCTTTTGCCTCCGTTGTCTCCCAGGGCCGGGCACCTGCCCCACGGGCTGAGCCTCACAGAGCGACCAGCGCCGTGGAGCTTCGCTGGGGTTCCAGACGGCTCAGGCAACCAGATGGAGACGGGAACCTCCCGCCTCTGGAAACGCACAGACCCGGTTTTCTGCAAAGTCGGAAGGTTCCTGGACGCGCACCTGGAGCCCTGGCCAGAGGTCCCAAATTAAGAACAGAAGTGCTGATGGGCATTTTCTCTGGGCTTTACTTGGGTTGACGGGGGCAGTCAAGCACCAGGCTGGCACAATGTCACCTCCCTCGTACAGAAAGGGAAGCCGGGGGTCAGAAGGGACCTCCCTGGTCTGCGGCCGGGGCTGAGGAGGGCGAGGCTGGGATTCAGACCCAGAGCAGACCAGCTGTGGCTCTTTCCTCCCCACGGGGGAGGCCGTATTTCCAGGCTGGAGCAGGTGTGTGTGCACGGGCGCCCCAAGCCCGGGATAAGCCTTTCGACACCGCCTGCCGGGGCCGGGGCGCGTCTCACGGGGTCCCCTGCCTGTGCGCGGAGGGCGTCCGCCATCAGAGACACGGCTTAGGCGCAACTGGTGAGGCTGGTGGCTGGGCTTCGTGAGCAGCTCAGAGGCTCCCCAGCCCCGTGCTCGGTCGCTGGCGGTCCCACGTGACCTTGGAGCAGGACGGAGGCCAAGTCCCCAGCCGGGAGCACTCCCGTGGAGGGCCGTGGGGGGGAACCCCCGCCGCTAACAGTGCCGCAGGGGAAGGCGAGAACAGGAGTTTCTGGGCTGGTCTCACGTGCTCAGCCCCGCGCCCGGGGGTTCTTCGTGGATTAAGGCGGCATTTTTTTCTCACTAAACCTGTACGAGGTGGGAACCCGTTTTCAAGGCAGAGGTTGGGACCAGGGAGGTTAGGTAACTGGGCCGGGGTCCCCAGCCTCTGCAGCGTGGAGCGGGGGCCTCGTGCCCAGACGGCCCGGCTGCAGGGAGCTGCCCTCACCCCCGGTGCCACACTCGTTCCCCTGCAGCCGTGTGCCCCGGAGCGACCCCCTGAGTCCCTCTGTGCCCCGACCCTCCAACCAGCAAGGAGGGGCCCTCTCTCCCCGTCTGGGAGCAGCGGACTGCCAGGCTTGGTGGGGGGCGGTTCCGTTTTTGCTGCTCCCGGGTCCTGTGCTGGCACAAGAGGCTCCCTAACGCGGCCGCGCCCCGCCTGCCCGCGGCCCTTGGGTGCCGGGCATAGAGCGGGCACACAGTGGCCGCTGGAACCTGTCACCCTGGAGGCCGACTGGGGCCCAGGCTGCTCTGGCAGCGGCCTGAGGCCACTGTCCCCTCTGACCTTGGGCCGGGGCAGGGTGGGGGCTCTCTTTCCCCGCCCACCCGCGCGGTGCTGCCCGCCCCCTCCCCAGCCCATGTGGCAGGAGCGCAGAAGCCGGAGCGGCTGTCCCCCAGTCCCCAGGGCCCTGGAGCCACGTACCCTCTCGGTGCCAGCTCGCAGCTGAAGGGTTTGCTCCTCACTGTCATTTTCACTGTCTTCCAGCTGCTCCAGGATCTCGTCCAACATCACAGACCGCTTTTTCTTCGGGGGCTCTGTGGGAGCCCAGATGGCAAGAGAGGAGGAAAGAACAACCGAGAGGGTTGGGAGGTGGGAAGAGAGCGCCGGCAGGAAGGGAGAGGGAAAGGGGTGAGCAAAATGGAGGGCGGGGAGGCGAGAGGGGAGAGAAGGCACGGAGAGGGAGGGGGCACGAGGGACGGGAAGCCAACGGGGAACAGAAAACACGGGCGAGAGAAACAGTGAGGGTTAGTCTCCCGCTTCACCACGGGGCTGCCTTCCCCCCGGCCCCAGCCACTCCCCTGTTCTGCCCGCCACCCCCCTCCCTGTCTCCCACCCGCAGAGGAGAAGGGAGGGGGGAAGAGAAGGCCCCCTCCCAGCAGCTCCGAGGTTAGCGGATCTCTGTCCGGCTTGCAGGGAGCAGGAAATCTTCGGAGAGGATGGGTCAAGTGAGGGCAATCGCTGGGGAAACAAACAGAAGCCGCGCAGGCTTTGGGGGGCGGCTGGCATCCAGCAGGTGCTCAATTAATGTCGGGTGAAATCATGCTCAAAGACGGCAGAGGGGGCGTGGAGGGAAGAACAGCGAGAGGCAGCTTTAGAGAGGAGGGGCGTTCTGACTTGGGCTTTGAAGGACACAGAGGAGGTTTCTGTGACGACAGGGGAAGGGGGTGCAGGTGCACAGCATGAACAACGGGACGGCGGGCTCAGCAATAGCTATTCCCCCTGGGCCTCAGACGCTACTGAGCGCCCACTGGGTGCCTCAGCTCCACTCCTCTTAACAAGCCCACAGGCAGGTGTTATTATTGCCTCTTGCAGGTGAGGGGACAGAACAGGCAGGTAAGTCTCAGGTCCCTCAGACAAGGGGTGGAGGCAGGACTCGAACCCAAGCAACGCCACACCCACAGCCTTCCCACTTTTCACGGGAGTCTCCGGTGCTGGCCAGAGAATGCCAGGGAGACAGAGGGTGGCTTGGGGAAGCTGAGCTGGTCCCCTTGGCCCTCCTGGGAGGGACGGGGTGGTGGGGAGGGGGAAGACTGGGCTCAGGCCGGGCCTGCTGGCAGTCCCTCTTCTGGTCTAACCACTCGCTAACGGTCAGCCTCAGTCAAGGAAGAAGAATGTGGGCTCCTTCAGAGGCGGCTGCGGACGAGCCGTCCCGATCCCCCAGCCCTCAAACACCTCCTCCGCGAAGTCTTCTGCGGGGACAAACCCTTCGCCTCCGGGTCTGCAGAGCCCGGTCTGGCCCTTGGCCCAGACGTGAAGAGTCCTGGGCCTCTTGTAGAATGTTCTGGGTCAGTGACTTGGCGTCCCTGAGCCTATTTCTTCGCCGTGTTCCTCCCCGGGTGACCGGGGGCACCGACCCCTTCTGATCCTCTCCACGGCTACCTGCCTGATCCAAGCACTTTCACCTGAATCCCTGTTCCCGCCGCCCCACACCGCGGGGTCTGCCCTGCCCACAGCAGCCCGAGGGAATCCTTCTAGAACAGGTGCTACCCCCCGGGAGTCTCAGAGCTCCCACGGCTTTGCCCAGCAGGGAGCGGGAACCCTTGCGTCCCCTGGGTGGCGTTACTCAAGCTGGGCCCTCCGGGAGACCCCTGCCCCCGCACGACCCAGGTCGCCTGTGTTCAAGCCCCAGCTCCCACGCCCCCTTCTCAGAGGACCCCCAGCCCTGCCGCGTGACCCTTCTCACCACCGACACCACGGCGCACGTTTCTTTGTCTGGGAACAGAGCTGTCCTGTGGGTTGCTATGTCCCCTGGCTCAGCACACAGCCTGGAACCCAGTGTGTGCTCACTGATGTTTGCCCAGTGAGGGGATGAGCACGTTGAGTGGGAAGGGGGGACCGAGCGAGGCTTGAGGAAGTGGTGGGAGGCTGCCTGCCCCCCACTCCCCCCGCCGCAGGAGCCCCCAGGCCTGGCAGCTGTATCCGTCATTGTTAGTCATGGAAAGGGAGAGGGGGCAGGATGGGCTGGGGGTAGGGGCGGCAGCCCCCGGGCTCAGACACACACTTCTCCCGGCTGCCTCCTTGACGCTCTCGGTTTCCTTATAATCGCCAGGCTCCGGAGGTGCACAATGGCCTCTGGAAATTGAATTTGTGGGCAGGTAATGGGAGCCGGAAAATAGAAGGGCAGGAAAATAGGGCCTGTGGGCCTGTCACTGACGCCCCCTGCTCGCTACTAACAGCGGGGGGTGTGAGCTCCCGGGATGGCGGTCCCTGCTCTGCCGGTCTCCCGAGGGGCGGCCGTGGCGGTGAAGCCACGGTCCTCCCCTTCAGGGATCGTTCTGGCCTTCGCCGCAGCCCGACACAGGCCAAGGGAGCAGGCTTCTGCCTACGCGTCCTATGGCTCAAGCTCTCAACCAGTTCTGTGCCCCCCGCCCCCCCCCCCCCCCGCGTCGCCACGTCTCTGGTCTGCAAGACGGCGGGAGCCTCCTCCGCCCTCCCTCCCCAGCCCAGGCTCCCAGGGGAGTCGGAACATGTCGCTCCTTTGTCTAACCCTCCGTGGTGCCACCCCGCCTGGGGCAAAGCTGTCAGGACAGCCTCTAAGCCACCCGAGTGGTCCCTGTCGCCTCTGTGAACTTCCAGTCACACTCTCCCCCTCACTCGCACGGAGACAGCCACCGGGGGACCCCTTCCCGGTTCCTGGCACCCCCTGTCGCCCCCCTCTCCCATGTCCGGACTCTGCACCTGCTGTCCCCTCTGCCTGGAGTCCTCTTCTCCCAGGGAGCCACCGGGGGGAGGAGGAACCTCACCTCTTGGGGGCTGGGGTCTCCCTGATGCAGTTCGAAGTCACAAGTCCCCCCGGTGCCCCTGCCCTACCTCCCTGTTCGCTTGCCACCACGGCATTTAGCCCTGTGTTTTACTGTTCAGCTCGCCCTCTGCCTCTCTCACGGGAACGCTGCCTCCGGGAGGCTGGGGTTTTGTCTGCATCATCACTCTGTGCCCCCCAGTGCCTCCAACAGTGTGGGACACGCAGCGGATGCTCGGAGAGTACTTGCTGAGTGCCTAAACGGACGGGTGGCAGGGACAGATGAGGGCGAAGAGGGCAGGCTGCTGAAGGACAAACCCAAGCAGCAGGGTCGGTAACCGAAAGTGGCCTTGAACCACCTTCATTCACGTTTTGGTCCCCTGACAACACAGACCGGGGCAGTGCTGCCCTGGGCCGGGTGTGGGAGTGAACGGGACAGGCCCCGTCCAGTGTGTTCCTGGCCCACGGAGGGGAGATCGCGACGGAGCCAGACAGCTACAACCCAGGGCGGGATTAGTGCCGGGACGGGGAGGCCCTGCTCCAGTGTGGGCTATCAGGGCGGCTTCCTGGAGGAGGCGACAATGTAAGCATGGCCGGTGCTGACTCCCAGCTCCGGCCCTCTCCCGCCACTGTGCTAATCTCACCACAGGCTGGCGGCTGTGCTCACGGCTTCATGGCCTCTCCCACCCCCTGAGCCAGCGGGCCCCTCCCAAGCTCAGCCCGGCCTCCCGGACACCAGCCACGCTCAGTCTGCTGGGGAGCAAACCAGTTCTTCCACGCCTTTGCCCGGAATGCCGGCCCTGCCCTCGGTCACCCTGTGCCTTCCTCGGAGTCACCTGGCCCCAGAGACCCTCTCCTCCCCTGCAGCCACTTGATGAGCGTCTAAGAGCCAAGCATCCGTGATGCAGCGGTCGGTAACAGAATGAAAAGAACCCACGGCACCCAGCGCTGGCCTCTGATCCTATGTTTCCCCTCCCCGGCAGCGGGGCTCTCACCCCTCGGACCCTCAGCTCCCCGTCCCGGGACAGGTGGCCGAATGGCCACATGATAGGCTACTGCCACTCCTGCACCTCTCAGCACACAGTGGCAGCTCGGAGGGCCTCTGCCGTCTGACCGGCCTCAGGCCTGCCCTGGCCCCAGCTGTGAGCTCCGGGAGCCGGTCTGCCTTGTCCCCAGTGCCCAGCACAGAGTAGGCGCTCTGCGATCACGTGCTGAACGTAAGAACGAACGAACGAAACGAATGAACGAGCAAATGAACGATCGAGTCCCAGGGCACCGAGGTGGGTCGTCTCTGAAAAACCACACTGATGTTGACGGGACAGCAATACAACATAACGGGGGCGGGTGGGGGCGAGATGGCATCTGGCCGGGGAAACCGAGGCCCAGAGGGCGGGGGATGCAGCCGGCAGAGGAACGCACACAGGCGGGGTGCAGGAAAAGCGGTGCCTCGGTGGAGTCTCAGGGGCCCTGCCTCGGGGTAGGGAGGCCCCCGCCAAGGTTGCACGGGAGCCCGTGACACCGACACGGGGCCCGCGGCTACCACGTCCGGCTCTAGGATCACACCCACTGGCTTTGGCACGTCCCCCGTTGTGTGCCCTCGGGCAGGGCACGTACCCTGAGGTTCACGCCCTCGTGTACAGAACGGGGGGGGGGGGGGGGGGGCAGGGCAGTTCCCCACCGCTCCCCGTCTCTCTAGAGCCACCTCTGCTGACCCGAAGGCTCCGAGGTAAGGAGGAGGTGCAGGCTCCCCCTTCCTGCGCAAGCCTCTCAGGGCACCCCTCCGTGCCCTCAACGCCTCCTTGCACGCTCAGGGACGCACGCGTGGACACCTCTCTCCCACCAACGACTAGCCTGTCTGTGCCTCAGTCTCCCTACCTGTGACAGGGGGGCACTACCAACATCGACCTCACGGGGTCGTGGGCAGGACTGATGGAGGGAAACCCAGCCGACGGTGTGGAGACCGACATCTCTGTTCCCGAAACTCACGTCACACGTGCTGATTTAACGTCTCGCTTTGCCATTAGGCCAGTGGGCGCCGACGGGGCGGGGACCGTCATCGGGCGGCCAGCACACGGTGGGCGATCCACGGAGAGCTGTTAGGCAAACGCACGGGATGATGCGGCAGGTACAGTATCCACTCCCCACCCCACGTTGGAAAACGGCCCAGGGGATCCGCCGACCCCAGCGGGGCGAGGGAGGGGCGTACAAAGCGGGTTGGCGACTGGCTAACTCCACGGCCTTGGAGGTCACGTGACCGGAGGTCCCGGCTCTGGCACCTAATGGCCCGGTGACCTC